TACCTTCTTATTTCCTTCCCATACTTCTCCGGCGTACTCTAGCGGCGGTACGATTACGCTCTTCAAAACCGTCAATTTGATGCGTGTATCGAGGTGCCGGTTTGCGAGTATTGGGTGCAGCTTCCCTGCTCGTGCTTTGCCCTTTTCCGCTACCTTGGACATGTGTGCATTCCACGAGCAGTCTTTTGCGATCTCTACTCCGAGGTATGTGTACTGGTCCGCTACTGCAATCTCCTCGATCCCCCACTTCCATCTATGTTCTACTGGTTCCTCCTTGTTCTCGTTGCATTCCATGACGGCACTCTTCTGAACGTTGGCAGACAATCTCCACTGATCAGTAAACTTCTTCGCCGCGTCAATTTGCAGTTGCAGTCCCTCAGGGGCGTCCGACATACCGACAAGATCATCCGCAAACAGCATTCCTGAAACCAACGTTTCCGTGTCCCCTACTTTTACTCCCTTCCGGACTGCCTCTACGACTTCCAGCAGATCGTTGATGAACACCTGGAACAATGTTGGGGACAGCGTGCAACCTTGTGGGACCCCCTGCTCAATGTCGAAGAATTTTGACAGTTCTCCGTCTAACATGACCGCGCTTTTCGTACACTCTGTCATCTTCTTCAGCACTCTCCACATATGGGGGGGTGTACTCATAGTCGTGCATGCCGTAGTCGTTAGACCATTGACCTTGCATCCCTACAAAGCCGGGACGGAGCACGCCGGGTTCTCACCGGACCAGGCTCTCACATCACCAAGTGCGAAATGGGCGGAGACGGGGGGGGTTTCTCGGCGCCTAACCTCCCGAGGGAAACCCGATGGTTTTGGGGTTGTGTTGGAGATAGCTGTTCGGAGCACCGAACACAGTGACGGAAAACAATCGATAAGTTCAGAAGACTCTGATTGCGTCGCAGATTGTTCGACGTTCGCCGCCTTCTATGTTTCCCCAGTGGGCGCATGGTTTGTCCGGCAAAGTGTGTCTCAGCAGGGTTCACTTAAAGGATAGTATGGTGCTTGTATTGGACTCTCATGCTTGTATATTCAGTACGAAATGCCGATTCGATCACAAAAGGCTGATTCAACCAGCTCTACCACGGGTCTCTCCTCCCTCTCCCTCTCCCGCTTCCGTTTCCGCCGTACCCTGCGCTTTTCTAACAAGATCAGGTGTGGGAGGGTAAAGCTGAAAATTTCGATGCTGCTGTAGAGATGGCGGGCGGCTTGGCCAAGGCTAACGCCGCGGCACAGCTTGGTCAATACGAGGGCCCGCACCCCTCGATAAGCGGAGACTCGTCATTGCACGACCCAAACCGCGGGTGGCGGCCAGCTTAATCCGGGTGACACAGAATGGCGAGTGACGCGCGATCGTGAGCGTTTTTTCCGGCACGATCCGCCGCATGGGATGTTCCTTGACTGGTCTTACACCGTTGACTTTCACGAATGTGGTTGGCATCCGTCGGTGGCATCCAATGTTTGACGAACGTAAAGCATAATGAAGTCCGGCAGTGCCATGACTCACTCCCGTGTTTCACTGCCGTACAACAGGCAAGTGAATGGTATGCCTGGCATATTATGTGGTAATAAGTACCAGCAAACGTTCGGACATATGTTGCTGGACCCACAGCGACAGTCTCCGGCTTGGGTTTAGGCTCTACCCTACTGTTATGACTGAACGGGTGACAAGTGGGCCTCTGCTCGTTGTGCGAATTGCCCTTTACGATCAAGACCGAATTTGTAGCGTGTTGAGCACGTTGCTCAGCGAGTACCGACAAGGGCGTGGTTGAGTCAGTACGTCGTGCAGTACCGTGTGTAACGCAGGAACAAGACGCACCGCACATGGATTCTGCGCTGCTGTGTAACCTCGCACGCGGTCTCGATCGTACTGTGCACCAACCCATGCAGCCGAACCTCTGTGAACGGTGCACATGGTTTTCGATGTCCTTGATAGAGGAGATCGTCCTTAACTGTCAGTGGATGATATCTTGCCTCCTAGCTGGAACGGAGGTGTTGTATGCCTCGAATGACGCACCGAAGGCAGGGACGTTACGAATTGAAGGTTCTGCACACCCAGATAAGCCGGCGAGCGTACACCGGTCGCCCCGGTGGTCAAGTGGGTAGCCTCGCAGCCTGCTAAGGACCAGGTCATGGGTTCGAGTCCCGGCAGAGAGAGTTTTTTGCTCACTAAATATATCCTAGTCTAGGATGAAAGCGACGCGCTGCAAAGCTCGTTTGTTAGTAAACCATAATCGACTTCTTAAGTCGCGAGGGAAGGGATTGCTGTACCCTTCTCGCGATAAAAATACCTCAGGCATGAAACGCAGGAGGGGGTCCAACCCCCCCCTCCTATGTGACCCCGGTTGGGTCTAGCTAGTAGAAGTGGAGGATAGGGGCCAGAGGGGCAGACGACAGAGTCCAATGATGGGAGAAAAACAAACAAAAAACAAAAAAAACCTGGAGGTGTCTTCGAAGAACATCCTTCCACCAGCACTTGACCGGTTGTGATAACAGTAGACTGGTAAGTGCTCACCAACAGTGTGCGACGCCGTGCGACCTCCTACACGACTAGCAGGCAGTGGGCTAGTGCCGTAGGGGTGCGACCCAGGCAGATTGTTGTCCTGAGAAAGCATGGCAGCACTCGCCGGATGAAACATATACCTATTGATCAGTAACGCGTTCCGCATCGTCACGGACTGCCTTCGAAACAAAGCAAACTCTCTAGCGTGGGAAAGTACACGGCCTGAGATAGAGTGCTTCGGCCAATCTATCTTTGAGTGAAAAGTCACTTTCAATCTCGTTGACAAGTTGACCACCAAAATCGAGGCGGTGTGGAGGAGTATGAGCCAGGAGTGTAGAGTTCCTACATCGCACCAACACAAGAGAGACTGTCTCCTTGTTCGTAGCATCGCTACAAACATGCAACGCGGTCGGGTGACCTCGGGCGGCGGCAGCCCGAATGCGTTCCTACAGTAGTTTGGATTTTGTTTGATTACGTACAGTAGAGGCCCTGTTTAGTGCCGGGGTGTGCGCGAAAATTTCACCGGCACTAGACCATACCAGGCACCGGCACTACTCTGCAAAGTGCCTGAATAGTGCCACAGGGGCACTATTCAGGGTCTGAAAATCCCTCAATAGTGCCAGACCGGCACTATTGACGAACTGTGTGATTTCAGAGTGCAGCGCTTTGCCTTGCGGGGCCAACGGAGTACCACATGAAACGTACATGGGTGAGATCATGGCATAGTCTAGGCGTCGCGGGCAGACTGCTGTGCCACGGTAGGGGTGGTTCCTGCCCTGTCGAACACACAATATTTTGCTTAATAAGTTACCTGGACGGGACACACATGCTGCACCTTGTTGCTGTACCCACCTCAGCGCACTTACTGAGGTCGTGGGTCTGCGAACATTGTTGTTGGATACATGTGCTGGATGATTTTGTGTCNTCGCAAACACTCTAGAGTTTACCCCTCGAGGGAAGCCACATCGGGATGAGCTCTGCTGGAGACGAA